GTATATGATACAAAAACTGCAATGTCTGATATTTTCCTGATACGCAAATGGATTGCAATATGAATACATACACATAATGTTTTGAAACATTTTTTCAAAGTCGATTGAAATATGTTAAATGAATAGCTATTACAAATACCCTATCTGTACTGAATTCCTAAAATTCATAAAAATCCTTACAAAGATGCATGTCGGGTTCTAGTAAATGTTCTGCTAATCTTTTTCGTTACTCCAAATGAAATGAAGGAGGAACTTCAGAAGACTGTACAATAATATATTCGAGAAGAGATGTTAACCAGATGCAGATACTTAAAGTCTCCAAGGAACGTTTAGAAAATTTGAAATCACAAAACTTTTATAAAAATCAAAAGCATCAGAACGTGACTTTTCACAGAGCAACAAAGACCAGACTTTTTGACATCATTTTGATAGACAATGTTTCTTCAATAAAAATGGAACTCGTAGATTTGCAAACGTTGTCATTTGTCATCGGCAAACTAATTTTGTTAAAACATTCTGAATCTTTATATAAGTATTCCGAGAAATATATTTAAAAGATGCTTGAGTTTCTAATTGACAATATCTAGTAGTTTTCGGAGACCAATTCTTTCCAGCTCGGAGACTCAATCTGTTTAATCTCCCATGGGTTCTTTTTCCGCCCCATTATTAACAGACCTGCTCGATCATGTTTTCTTATGAAACCAACATTTAGCAAATTCTATGGTCGATACAATGACCGTGTTTACAAATACAATCTGTCGTTAAGTCGAATGTTGACTGCATGACGTCTTTTCATACAAATTGTTCGGCCATTATCTTTTACACTAAAATGTCTACAGATTTTACCGTTTATCCCATCATGACAAAAAGCATACGGCGCGTGTGACTGGTGGATGCTTACTCCTCCATGGAACCCGATCCTCCATCTGTTTTCAGAGGCCCGTGTTGCCTCTGCTCAAAAATTATATTGTTTAAATGGACTTTTGAGAATGCTCACTGTGTGTTTTCTTCACAATTGATTAAAAAAACAAACAGAAACGAAAACAACAAACAAATAAAGAAACAAATACAAACTAGTATAACGAAGAATCAAAATGAAACGTACGCGTTTTAATCTAATTGAAATAATGCAATATTTAAGGGGAAAAAGGTACAAAAGAGAATTATGTGTTAACTCAAGTCATATTACAGGGGCCATTTTATATTACAAGCATAAGCTACCAAGCAATACTAGCAAGTATAAGTAGTATCAATAGCTCATTATATCAGCATATAGATCAGCATACCGAAATTCCGCTTATGCTTAAAAAGTATGAATTATGTCAGCAGAAAAGCTTGCAGGTTGTTTTTATTTTAACAGACACTCTATTATAAATACATTTTAGTATAAAACCAATCGTAATTATAATGCTTAATTGACAATACTGAAAATTATCACGTCTAGTAAGCATCACCAAGCATCCTTATCAGGATGCTAATGCATCCTTATCATGATGCTAATCATTTTACTTAAGAAAACAACTACAATAAAAGAAAATGCTCCTTTTGAATGTAGAATAACCTCTGGTGATAGCAGAAGGTTAATATTAATGGATGTTCCATACAAATACGACAGTTCACCTTTTTAAGTGTCGCACCTTCATTCTGTATGCTTAAAATCTTTGATTCATTGAGATACTGATTCGTTCGTTAATTTAAATTCATTAAAATACAATTCTACAATATGTATCTGTTATATATTTGCAATGAATTTTATTCAGATTCATGCTCTACACATGACGTTTTTTGCAATCGTTCAGCGACAAACTGCCAAAAATATGACGCTTTCCACAATGCAACAGTTGTAGGAGAAGTTCGTTTTCGTTCAGTGGTGTTGATGAAGACGATAAAAAATCACGGGTTTTTCTGTAGCTGTGAGCAATATACGTTTTCATGTGTAATAATGAAAGATGGTGAGAAAATTATTTACCTTTTTAAAAAACATTTTTGAAATTGATTTTTTTTATGAGCTCGAAAATGTTCTCGCATAATAATTAAATAAAACTTCTCCACTTACTCATCTAGAAAAGGAACAACTGATGTAGTACGCAGGATCTTTGAAAACTAAAGAAATTAACGAGGTCGAAGCTAGTTAAAAATGTGGAAAAGAAACCCGAGACATCTTATTTGTATCTAGTATAGTTATATGCATTAGTATTATATTATATTAGAAAAATCAATCAAGAAAATATTTTATACCTTGATTGTGGTGAAATATGCCATTTCAAGATATAGACTATTTTTGTGGATTTGCATAAAATCATATCGCAAGTAGTTTTTGGTCTGTCTGTCCGTCCGTCTGTTTGTCTGTGCGTCCGCAAAAACTATAACTTTGTCCATAACTTTTGAATGGTTGCTACTGGGGCTTTCATATCTCACATGTTTATTCCATATGACGAGACCTTTATTTGGGTACTAACGTATGTTGACCTTGGAGTTTAACCTACTTTTACACAATTTCACCAAACTTTAACCTTATGCTTATAACCAAAACTTTAGAACAATTAGAGATATGCTTTTATATTTTACACGTTTATTCCATGTCACCAGATATTTTCTTTGGGTGCCAACATTTTTGACCTTTTGACCTTGAGGTGTAACCTACTTTTGAAAAACTTTTTTATTCACTATATTTTCTGAAAGATTAGTATTAGGGCTTTCATATTTCACACGCGGTTCCTTGTGACAAGATCTTTCTTCGGGTAGCAACAATTTTGATTTCTTAATCTTGAAGTTTGACCTACATTTGTAAATTTTAATCTTGGCTTGAGCTGCCATGTGGGGTATCAGTGTTTCACAAACACATCTTTTTTTTTTTTTACTTTTCATTTATCACAGACATTAGTTATTCCTCATTTGAGAGAAATAAATAAAATTCGGTGATATTCTTAATCGTAGTGAAAAGAAGATATACAAGGCACAAAAATATGACTATTCAAGATTATTTACAACTAGGTTTTAGTTTTTAAAAAAAATATATATAAAATTATGGCAATCTTTATAATAATTGAAATAAATGCTTGAAACAACACATAAAAAGAATTCTATCCCACTTTTCTATTATTTTGACGCACAATATAATTATACGTGATAGTAGGAAAAAGTTTTCAAAAAAGCGATAAAGCGATATGTTCGTATTATTTGGGAATTTATACACATGTATATAATACTTCTCAGGGTGTTTAGAGGAATTTATAATAGATAATAATATTCTGATTGTAACGTGCCGTTTGATTGGATATTTTTTTGTTTACATTATATCGTATAAAGTCACAATGACGCGTCAAAGACGTATCGATCCGCCTGACGTTACATTTAAATTGTGTACTGTTTGAAGTCATTTTGTACGGACAATCATCTTAGTTTCGTACACTAAATGAATGAAAATTAAATAATAAGAAAGGAAATTAACGGCTTCCCAATTTATACGGTATAAACTGGGTTGGAACAGTTTACACTTTTTTTTATAAACCGCGAAGCGAAGTGTAAACTGCCCCAACCTAGTTTATACCGTATGAATTGGGTATTTAATAAATTCATTTCTTAAATAAATTTAAGCTACTGTGTGAAATAATCTTAAGTAAACTGGAAAGATAATCCTAACGGAAATACTATGAAAGTTTTTCCCACAAATTTAGTAGCTCGCGCCTCACTTAGTGTAACGTATAAAATAAAAATTATGCTCCTTAATATTTCTGCAAAATTCGAATCTTTTTAGTACAATTAGGTTAGAATATGAGTCGCATTTTTATCAGTGATCATACGCAATCAAAGAACTGAGAATACCTAGACAATTTACAGTCATACATGTAGTTCTCTAAATGATCATATATGTTTTGATTGAAATGAAATCATAAAGACCAAATAGATTGATACAGTTTCTTAGTAATATCTAAAATACCAGTCTTATACAAAATCAGAACAGGTATTAATTTACACTAATAAAGCTCTGCGAAAATGATCAATTTTGATCAATTTTAAAGATCTTGAAAAAGAAACCCTCTGCACATCAAAATATTGGAAACTACATTTAATAATTCTTATAGTTTGAATATTTGGTTAAAAGTTCATGGCTAGATCATATCAATCATATCTTATATTTTCTATATATTTTAGAGTTTGTTGGGTAATTTGTTGACCACCAAACCTTCTTACAAAGGGTCTCTGAAAGGAGATAACGAGATTATCCGAATTTCTCAATTTTTTGGTTACGTAGTAAATAAATACATGTACTATATTAAGTAAAGGATTTTTGCTTTGAAAAACTTGGATAGCAAGAGAATCTATTTTTTACTCAGAAAATGCAACTGATATTCCTTCATAGATAGATACAAACAAATTTGTCGAGAAGTCTAGAGGCTGCCTTGTATATTTTTGGAAGTTTTTGTGGTAATATTTCTGGAAAAATATTCGGTATACTTTTACTGTGCTACTATAGCTAGTACTCCTACCACCATCAAGCATATAAACACTGTTAAAGAAGTACAATTTCAAAACAGGCATAGTTAAATTTGTATTTGATAAGCAGCAAGTAAATCTTCTTTTTGGCAATTCTGAAAGAAGGACAAAAATGATTCTTAGTCCTTCTTGTTATATAAAATGATTTGTTTAATCTAGCTGTTAAATCCTTGTACAATCACAACTGGAAGAAGACATAAGAATGTTAATTAAGATAAAATGCATTTCATGCATGGATTTTATATTTATGGAAATGTGGGGGAGAATATGTTTGAATGTATTCCCGGCGTATTGTGGCGTAGTGAATAAAAACCTAATTTCTTTAACATAAAGAAAAGTCTGGAAAAAGATAAATGCATTTCTCATTGAACAAAAACTGTTTAAAATCTTTTTATTTACCATGGTAATCAGTTTAAAAGTATATTTTGAAGTATTTACATGTAAATGTTGCCACATCTTTCTAGAAGGGAGTTGTTATAGCTGGCTTACAACAGGAGGTGTTCTATTCGGATCAGTGATGGTCATATGTGTAGCGATAATACTTTACAGGAAGTTCTCAATTTTGTGCAAGAAAAATATGTAAGTTTTAATATGAAATTTAAAATATAGAATATAAAATAAGTTCTACGATACGATATTTACAAGAATTCTTGAAAATCCTCGCATGCAAGTGTGCTGCAAATTGATTTGCTGAAACCTTTAAATGGCTTTAACTTATTTAGTTTTCAATAAAACAGGACGAAATTTAGAAATAAATATAGTATATTGAGTCGACTAAGTCCTTTAGTTATGCTTCTATTATAATGAATGCAAGGATATACTGAATGCACGTGTGTTGAATTCCGATTAGCTAATACTGAAATATATATATATATATATATATATATATATATATATATATATATATATATATATATATATATATATATATATATATATATATATATATATATATATATATATATATATATATATATATATATATGAAATTGTTTGATATTTAATACATAGGTATGTGTGTGAGACACTATTTGAAAATATATCTGAAAAATCTAGAAAACATGTTCAAACACATGCACTTAAAATTCATTAGCAAATACCCGCACGGCTATATTGGAGTAGTTTTCCGATAAAAATAATTGAGAAAATAAAGTAAAGATCTACATTTTAATAGCATTACCTAATGGGACACCATAAGGGAATGTGGGAGGCCGTTTGGTCAACATCTGTAACGGTTAAAATTCCCGTTCCAGTTATCATTAGTTATCTTTTCCTTACCGTGTTTCAAAACTGAATTTGGCTTAATTAAGGAAAAACCAGCCCTCCTTATAGAAAAAAAATCCATGTTTCAGAATAAGTGAAATCAAGATGGACACATTTCATAGAGCCGACACAGACGGTACTGCAAAGGTAAGTTTACATTTTTATGAACAGTAGAACTTTTAAACCCATCCTTAGATAAAACATTTTTACGAAGGAGTAACATTACTTAAACCTCACAGTATCGTTAACTGTATAAAACATTGATGAAAATATTTAATTAGATTGACCTTGTCTTCTTTTGTAATAAAACCTACATAAAGTAAAATAAGGAAAAAAATCGCTTTATATATATACGACTGACCATGAACATCTTAACTTAGGTAATTTGAGAGACAATTAGTCTCTTATCTCTTTCTTATTCGCTGGTGCTTCAGCTCCAAGTTTTCAAACATTATCTCGATCATGTCAATAGCCATTCCCATCACTGAATGTTTCATAGCATCCGTCGATCAACGGTTTATTCTTCGTGTTCATTTTTTTGCAGCTTTAGAAATCGTACCATTTATTTTGTCACAAACCCATCACTTTCTACTTTTTAGTGATTTAAGGTTCATTAATACTCTGATAAGAGAGATAACTCTTAATGACATAAATGTCTATTATTCCTATATAACGTTTTCAAGTTGAAGTGTCTTTATTGTCCAAATTTTCCCTGCAATCCATGATACAATTGTTTGTATTTTTCTCATCAAATACATTTCTTTTGGAAAATCATAAGCGTTAAAGCAACAATTTATATGAGTGAGCAGAGGGTTTTTGAATCTTAATGATTTTCATCACATTAAAAAATATGATATAAAAGTTTTGTATCATCTTGTTGAGCACATTGATCAAGTTCTAACATTTAAAATTTATTATCTGAACATATTTAAGACTCATTCTTTTAATTCAGTACATAAGAGGTCACTTTGTATTTTTTTTTCAACAAAGAACAAGGTACGGTTTCAATACAAATCTTGCCCTGTATTTTTCTTAAATATGAAAATAATGCAAAAAAAAAAAAAAAAAAAAAAAAAAAAAAAAAAAAAAAAATTAAAACTCATGCTTTCTAAAGCATTGGAAATCCATGCAGAAAGATCACACAAATCATTTCCCTCACATGACCTTCTAAATGCTAATTGTGACGTCAAGAACTTAAGCATTTTCCCGTATTTTCTTAAAAAATTGCAGAAGACATCAATTGTCAAAGGAATTTTCTTTCAGAAAATATAGACCACATGCATCGCTCACAAATAATTTAAGATATTTGATTTTTCAAAGAATTTTACACAACATGTCCGAAAATGAAAGTGGGCCAATGCTGTGGACTCTATTTTCTTAAGGAAAATAACCCTTAAAATCGGTCATTTTTAGGCCTTTTCTGTTTAAAACAGAGAAATGCATCAAATTAATGACGTCATATGTCCATAATGGTCCTCCTTCATGTCATATTCCTCCTTCATGCGATATCCTTTCCTGTTTTATCACAGTCATATACTCAACTCATGGTTAAGCCAGTTTGAAAACTTTTTGAAAACATTACATTTTTCGGACACAATAAAGCCAAATCGTACCTAGGGAGCTCGATCCGTGATCGGAAGGTCGGGGGTTTAAACCCCGGCCGCGACTGACTTACGAGGGGTTATTAAAAAGTTCGTGAGCTAGAGCCATAAAACATCAATACATTTTTGCACTTTTTAGCATAATCTTTTCTGCCTGTTGAATAAACTATATATCATAAATTTAATTTTTTAGATAAATTGTTAATGTTTTTGTAAGCAATGGTATGACCTGCGACGCAACCTCAAGATACGACGTATTTCTATTCGAGTCTAACTGGGTAAAAACTCTTTTGAAATAAGTATTTGTCAAACCGTAATCACATTAATTCACTCATGTGGTATGACATAATTTTTCCGTAAAACTTGCAACTTTTACCTCATTCTGTAAGTTCTATAAAAAAAAAAATAGCGTAAATTTTATATGGAATGCTAAAACAATTAAGGGGATAAAATGATGTCGGAAGGGGAAGGGATGTTTTACCCATATTTTATAAAGTTTCATCACATGAAAAAAAAAAAAAAAAAAAAAAAAAAAAAAAAAAAAAAAAAAACTGGCAAAGACCCAGGAAATGCTTAAACAGGATGAAGAGATATAAAATGCATCAATAGTACCTGTTTCGAATGCCGAAAAAGATTTAAAGAGAGGAGTGAACTACACGTAATGTCGATTTATATCCGGGTGTCCAAAACCAATCATGTCGAAAAAGCGACATTGTTCAAGTGGGGTAGACATTGAATTCTCACAAACAAATTATATGTCTGCACAATTAAATGAGGATCTTGCCGTATGTATAAATCCATTTGCATGATTATGCTTTGAAATTAGTTGTTCGTGGCATTTTAAAGTCATATAAACAATTGCAAGACGGGTTTCACTCTTCACTCAATTCCAGGGAACCTCCTAATAAAAAATGTATCGAGACAGTAGGAGCGAACTTTAGAATCAATGACGTTATCGGACGTCATAAAACTCAACGCCGACAGCGCCGGGAGATCATATAATGCCGTTTGTGTATAATTATAATTTGGGAAACTATCAACATATCAAGCTAAAAATTTGTCAACACTTCATATACAAGTACTATTACAGTTTTATTTTCCTTATTAATTTTGTATGTATTAAGTACATATTTTTAATTTTGTCGCATCAGTCCACAAACTTTTTGATAACCCCTCGTATGTCGATATAAGTAAGTAGTAACTGTCCCTTCGCTAACGCTCGGAATTTTGCAGTTAAAGTTCCTGGTCTTTCGGATGAGACTTTAAACACCGAGACCCCGTGTCAAGGTGTTGGCATTTTAAAGACCCATTACTGCTGAATGGCCCTGGGTGCCGAGTTAAGGTCAACATTTGAAGCCCTTCACCGGTATATGGTGAAGTCTCTAAATTGGTGAAAGTTTCTCAACACGGGACTTAAAACACCATACTATCAATCAATTTATCCTTGATAGCGTTCGTTTTTCTTCAAAAACATTTACGTAGGACCAAATAAGATTCAAACAAGCAAAACTGTGAACGTTTTAGAAAATTTAAGAAAGTCAAAATACTGCACAAATTTATTAAATGTAAATCAACAAATATCATTAATTCACAAATTAAGATACACATTTCCTCTCTCACCTCCCAAACCCAATATGTGCCTTCGCTTTGTTTTATAACAATACAATACTAATTGTTCATCTAATATTTCCGAATTAACCTTCAAAAACTCCACGAAAGAGGAATTGACATCGATACTAAAAGAATACAGGTATATATTTAAACTTATTTGTCAGTACAATATAAAATTAAAACAATAAATTGGTTAACTTTTTTGCAGATCATATCAAAAACAGACAAAGTATCGATTCCAAACGGAGGAAAAGGTCCCGAGTCGAAAGATGTTGATGACTATGATTACATCTACGAAGAACAAGGAAAAGAAGAAGAAGAAGAAGAAACATCTTATATGTACAGTTGCTATGACAGAAATGTGCTTAAGATCCGGTCTAATCTATATAGCACGGAGTAAAATTTGTATATAATTTTGTGAGAATTGTACTTATTAGTGCATGTACTTTGTTAAAACATGATGACATTTATTATATCATTTTACATATTAATCCATATATATACAACAACAGTTGCATATATTTAATTCTACTTTTGTAGATACCAAATTTCAGTTATTGTTTTTAATGTTGATGACAAATAATGTTCATCGACATTGATGTTATTATCTTCATTCTAATTAAATAAATTAAAGATTTCTAATTCAGGTTTTCCTTAAATTCAAAATAAAACAAAAAAATTAAAAATCTTTGATAAACTCATGTAGTTATGAAAAAATTCCAAAATCTAATTTAAAACGCAAACCAATATGAAAATTCGATCTATAGGAACACCAATTTTGGTTTTAGCAATCAGTATTTCTCGAAAAAAAAATTTTAAGTCAGGTTATACATGCAAAGATAATCAAACATGTTTGAAATATTCCATAGATAAATATTTTTTCTTTGTAACACGTCCCACTGTGTTTTTTTTCTTAGAAGTCTATGGTACTGTTACAACGATTATAATACACGCATCAGTTGGCTTTAATTCCCCCTGTATAACTCGTAAACTACATGTACTCAGCTCGTACTAAATATTACTTCTTCCAGTTTCCAGCTGAGTGTTCTTCCATTTTGCGGAAATTTCAAAGAATGTAAACACATTTAACACAAATAAAATTGGGAAGTTCCAAATCAAAAACTATTAACATATGGAGGTAAACCGACATATTGATCAAAGTATTGAAGTAAAAACATAGATTTGTATTCTCATATCACAAAGATCTTGATCTTCAAATAAACACTTCCAAAAAAAGCATAATTTTTTTTTTTACATGTTAGCAATTACAATCTTTCGTTAAGCTATAATATTATCTATGGAAGCCCAATAGTGCAAACCAAAAAATAAGAAACAAAATTAAAAAAAAAAAAAAAAAAAAAAAAAAAAAAAAAAAAAAAAAAAAAAAAACGAAATTATTATATAAAGAAAACGAAATTATTAAATAAAAAACGGAATTATTAAATAAAGAAAACGAAATTACTAAATAAAGAAACAAACGAAATTATTAAATAAAGAAAACGAAATTACTAAATAAAGAAAACGAAATTAATAAATAAAAGACAAACGAAATTATTAAATAAAGAAAAACGAAATTATTAAGTAAAGAAAACGAAATTATTAAATAAAGAAAACGAAATTATTAAATAAAGAAAAGGAAATTATTAAATAAAAGACAAACGAAATTATTAAATAAAGAAAACGAAATTATTAAATAAAGAAAACGAAATTACTAAATAAAAAACTGAAACTGAAATACGGAATTTATAGATGTGCATGGTAAGGGCCTGAACCCATGAATCATTCCATAAAGCGCACGTGTTATAAAGCATCACTTAGTAATTCTATAGACCTGATTTTATTTCGACATTGAAACAAGTGTGGGGGAAATGAAAAAAAAAAAACTTAGATAAATGTCAAATTGACAAACGTAGAAAAACATTATGTGCTCACAGCCTATAATTCACATTTGTAAAGTAAATGATTAATAACTGTTCAATTTTGTTTACGGGAATTTGATGCTGTGTCGCATCCCCACAACGTCAAAGTTTGAGCCTGTAAGCCTGGACGTAGCGAGGATGGCTGTTTCTGCTTACATAAAATTAAAGATATTCCAAAAGAGCTCATGAATCGCTGAAAGGTCAAGGCCTTGCGTATCGTATCGCTGAATTCCCCCCCCGAACTGAACCTAGTGCCCTATCTGTGTACCCATAAATCTTAGGTTGTTGAAACAATAAAGAGAATGATTTGAATACTTGTTGGATTTGTTATGCAAGTGTGTGCATTGTTTGTTCACAACTATCACTGACTTATAAATACAGATTGAGAATTTGTCATTTAGAATATGTGAGAACAAATAGTTAGTGCATCACTTCTAATTATGCTTTGATAAATGACCAAGAAATCAAAGGCGCTCCCCCAGGTAATTCTGTAAATGACGAATGATAAGTATATATATATATATATATATATATATATATATATATATATATATATATATATATATATATATATATAGGTCTACCCCTCAATACTATAAAATCAACCTATACTTATCATTCGTCATTTACAGAATTACATGGGGAGCGCCTGTGAAAGAAATTAGAGGTGTTTCTTAATTTTTAATAAAGTAAGCGATCATTAAAATCTACTCATTGTAACAACTTTGTCTTGTTTAATTTTTGCACTTGCTCTCTTTAAACAATAATTTATAATGGCTTCCGATCGGTAACGTATCATTTTACAGCATTTTTTGTACTGTGCTATAATTGAAAAAAAAGATGTATAACCATGGGAATTTCCTAAATGTTATAAGGTTCAGCAGTTGTAAACAACGGAATCTTAACAGACATGTATATCTTAAATATTTGTGCAATTTATAAGCACAATCTCTCTGATGTTTCATGTCCAGATTCATTGTTTGCTAATAATTAGACCTTCTGAGTTGAGGGTTTAAGAAAGCTAATACTAACGTAAACTTGTCCTCACTGGCCAATTCATCAGACTGGTCAAATTAAGTTCACATTAATCATGTTAATGTAAGATAAAAACATTAGATCTAAGCATATTGGATAACCAAAGGTAAAATTCTCCCCTATTCATCTATTATGATTGTCTACTCCAACTGGTTATGTTATCGATACGGGAATAGCTGAGTGTAAATGCAAATATCACACTTGTTTTAATGTCGAAAATGAGGTCATAGAACACGTGCGCTTTATGGAATGATTCATGGGTTCAGGCCCTTACCATGCACATCTATAAATTCCGTATTTTAGTTTCAGTTTTTTATTTAATAATTTCGTTTTCTTTATTTAATAATTTCGTTTTCTTAATTTAATAATTTCGTTTTCTTTATTTAATAATTTCGTTTGCTTTTTATTTAATAATTTCGTTTTCTTTATTTAATAATTTCGTTTTTCTTTATTTAACAATTTCGTTTTTGTGTATTTATTTTTAGTTTGCATTATTGGGCTTCCGTAATTATCAGGCTTTTTCATGCAAATTGTTAGGCCACTGGATTTTTCCGTTTATCCGATCATGACAAGGAGCACACAGCGGATGTAACCGGTCGACAGGGGATGTTTACTCCTCCATGGTACGTGATCCAATCTCTGATATTTTTAGAGGGTCGTGTTTATACTCCGCTCCCAATTTGAATTGTTTCAATTTTTCTTTTTTTAGCTTGATTACCTTCGTTATCTTCATATTTCTTGTAAACATCAATACGTTCATCTTTACAAACAATATAAATCCCTTCAATTGTTGAAAAATAGATGAATATATTTTTGTATCCTGCTCAAATTTGTTAAAATATGTTGTTTTTTTTTTTTAAAAATGTCCAGCTAATTTTAAGGTCCAAGAGACGTATTCTCATATTTTATAGAATTGCTTGAAGTATTCTCTGCCAACGATTCAGAAATTGATCTAATGTTCTCTGGGTGGGAACTTAGGCCTTCATATGCGGGGGGTAGGGAGTGAACATCTTGCAGTGTCTCATAATGGTCAGTGGTTGACTGGTTTCTAGCAACAGTGTCAGTGGGTGGGGTGCTAATTAAAATAAAATCAAAAGAAAACGTGCGTATTCAATGAAGGTACATTTTTTCCACATTTAATTTTATAAATACTGAGCAACCTCTTACAATAACCAAAAAAAAAAAAAAAAAAAAAAAAACAAAACAAAAAAAAAAAAAAAAAAAAAAACAACAAAAAAACAAAAAAAACCCCCATCTTTATGTTAACTGGTGACTCTGCAGAGTTTATTCATCTTCATGTTTTAGTCTATCAAACAATAACGATTTATGAGCATTTATCATATTTCGACATCCAATTTGCATAAAATTTGTTCAAACTACATGTAATTGCTATTTAATACAAGCAGTTCTATTTTTTTCTTATCCTCATTGTACATTTTAGTCATTATGAACAGAATATGTAAATAGATATATAAGGTCTTTATACTTTTAAAGAAAATAAGGCATGAAATTTCTGTCGCAAATTATACATTTTGAATTATTATCTCTTGTGGGCTGAGGAATAGTAATTTACAGAGAAAAGGTGTTGTAAACAGAACGAAATATTTAAATATAAAAAATATGAACCGCTTTTGTGAATCACAGCATATTAGGTACTAAAGAAACACTAGGAACCACGAACAAGTCAGCTACCCGAAAAAAGGATGAGCACATTACCGCAAATTTTTTTCTTGAAGCAAGGCGTTCATTTTTTCTATTAGTAATTTGAGATATACAACTCATTACTGCGACATATGAAAATCTGCCGATTCGATTCTACTTCAATTAATAAATTTAATGCAAGTAGCTCTTTGGAAAAAATAAAAAAAAAATGGAAAAATAAAATGACGTAAAATATTGACATATTAAATAATTATTGTACCGGGGTTTGGCTGGTACCCGACGTTTTCGATACAAGAGGAAGCCAAATGCTGCTAGAAAGATGACACAAATGACACTCAGAATGATAACCAGAGGAAGGAGAATATCTAAAAATAAATAGAATATCGTAAAGAATACAAAACACAGAGATATGACTAAAACGAAAGTGAAGTATACATTATCCAATCGCCAGAAAGTAAAATTAATACAAAAAGAAATCAAAAATTGTTTTAATATTGGACCTTGTTCGTGGACTTTAATTGTAGATAAAATTTAATCCGAAAAAATATTACCATGCAACATGACATTTTCTCGAGTATCAGTCATTTCAAATTAATATGCTCATAAATTCTTTTTTGAAGTTTAATAAATAAGCTCTCAGATAGTCCTCAACCACATTAGAATTTGAATGTGTTAGATACCTTTTGGAGAGAGAGAGAGAGAGAGAGAGGTTAAACCTATACCATTCTTTCAACTGAATGGTTACTTATAGGTCTGGTAAGGTGGCTGAATGGTAGAGCTCTGCCATTCAGTGACTTTTC